CCTATTGTGACGTATATCTGAGGGAAACTGCATCTCGAACGGTTTGGTTTTGTCAATGTTCTTATGAATATTACTTCAAGGTCATTAGCTTTAATAAGTAACCATTGAGGTATGATAACTGGCTCGGATGGTTTATACTATCTCAATCATATATTCTAACCTCTGTCTGATAGCAAGGACACTACTATTTCTTACACTGTGTGAAGGCCTCGGGTGCCAGTATCTTTTTGCGTATGCATGTGTGGGTGTTAGAACGAGACAATATTGCACCAAAGATAATATTAGAAACAAACGCATATGACGTCCTTACACTAAAAACATTGCAATGATGACAAAGTACTGACAAATAGTGGCACAAACTGTCTACATGCCAGCTGTTGGATGTTTCTATGAACGTCACGTCATCTATGGAAGACGAAGCGCTCCATCTAACCATATCCTACCACTACCTATGAGAACTTCCTATAGCTCACACTCCAGCCTCTGCACACTTTGTGTACTGCAGCGGGATGTATCAACTTTCAATCTCAGCCAAGTGCACCATCAAATATTCATGCCTGTGCTGCCTGGAGATGCCAGATACACATTTTACTAAGGGTTATTTGTTGTGTTTTCTCAGGAATGCATTACAGGCTTTTGATCACTGAACCACTGGAGAGAAAGCAGCAGTCAGAAAACGACTAAGCAACATCTCTACAACCTCTGCAAAAGCACCTTATGAAGTAATCACACCTGCTGGCTAAAATTAAGGGTTTGGCACAATTCCCAACAGCTGTTTTCGCTGAAGTATTTATTTGTCTGACTCTGCTCACATCTGCCCCTTCCCTCACATTGTATCAATGAGGTAATTTTTGGTTCATATTTGTCACTGATGAAGACTAAAAGTCAGAACTGGAGACGATAGTGCATTGCTGTTGAGACCATTAGTAAGATTGCTATCATGGCTTGCTCAAATGTTCTTAAAGCTGATAAATATCATAAGATGACACTGAAACCAATCAGAGATGGCAATCAAATTGTCTAATGCACTCTATAGACCATTTCACAAGATGTAAACAACACTGGTCCAGAAGCACTTCCTGTTTCAGTTTTTTAACACTACATAAAAGCTGGGATAAAATACAACCAACAGAACATTTAAAACTGAATCAAAAAGTTAAACAAACATCTTTAAGATGTTTTCTTTACATGTGAAATAAAGAAAACAGTTACAAACTGAAACAGGAAGTGCTTCTGGACCAGTGTTGTTTACATCTTGTGAAATGGTCTATAGCTCTGCTAACTTGACTAACAACATAAACTTATGTTAAAAAAACAAAACAAATTATGAATGTTTTATGGAGGTGGCAGAAATGCATGGTTGCATTCAAAAACGTAGGCATCTGACTTGTTGCCTCGCTGCCTTATCAGGCATTGACTTTGTAGGCAGTGTAACGATTAATGATCTAAGCAGAACAGAGAGACGTTTGGTGATAACTAAGCAAATATTTCATTACTACAATAGCCATTTCTGGCTGGAAAAGACATCAGAAGTGGAAAACATTGGTCAAAAACTGACCACGTTCATATATGACGGTTTGACCTAAAAATATCAAAATTGAAAATACTGCGGAGACAAAGACACCTACATCTTGGATGCCCTTGAGGTAAGCTAAAACATATCAAAAATTGATTTCAAAGTGAACTATCCCTTTAAAATTTCTGAAATATTGGATTGTTTTAGCATACTTTTTTTGGCCACACACTTTAGAGCTCCATTTAGTATTCAATTGAGTCACAGCGCTACTGAATTCTTTCTAAATTATCTTATGGGTTTGCAAAGACATGAAGGCGAGTGAAATTCTACAATTATTTTACAGTTTTTCATCCTACACTTACTTGGACAACATTTCAGTCATATCTGAATCGAAATCAACTTGAAATGATGATCAATGAGATACTTTACCAATTGGAGAATCTCTGCTGAGATCTTCATGATACCTTACACATAATAAATCTACATTAAATGGCTGCTCTTTACTTTATTAAATTACATTGAAGCAATGCAAATAATGTTAAAAAGCATATTAACTTGATGAGACTTTAATGTACTTGGTTTAAAAAAAAAATATTAAAATGAACATTAAAAAAATAGTATAGTATATGAAGAGTTCAGATGCAAAAGCCTCTAAATGCCATTTGAAATTTTCTTCTAAACTGACCATTTTTATCAAGCTTGTATATTTAAGTTCAGTAATTTCACTTAAATGACAATTAATAGGTAATTATCATTGCCATTTAAGTGAAATCACTGAACTTAAATATACAAGCTTGATAAAAATGATCATTTTAGAAGAAAATTTCAAATGGCACTTAGAGGCTTTTGCATCTGAACTCTTCATATGTCTGTTGATAAAGTAAGGTAATGCTGATTCATATGCTTTAATCCGGAAAACCATGCAAATTGCAAACATCAATTATTTGGAACATGAAAACCATACACCACTGTGTGTGAGAGCCAGAAGTTCACCCATCCGGTGCAACTCAAGCAAAAACCAATTCAAGCAAGGTGCCACTAATATCTCTCCTTTAATGAGAGTAGTAAGGACCAAGAGCTGAAAGAGACATCAGCCAACAGCAGATGTTTCAAATGATGATTTATTCATGATCCAATTATGAGCTTCAACAGCATTCTGTCATAAGTGCAGTGACATTTCGACTACTATTAATTGCTTTATACAGTCAGTTTGGTAATCATGCATCGCAGAATATCATTCCAAGATGCTCCATAACTGTGTCTTATCCTTGATAGATGGACACTGGCCATCGGTGAAGACTGAAGACAGCAAATGTCAGGCATTTATCTTTTTTTTTTTTATAGATTATTCTTTCCGAAAGTGTGACAATTCTTTCAAATACACCATTGAGGATTAGAATCTTATTTCAGCTTGATATAAATTGTGATGGTTGCGCTTTTATCTCTGGGATGAGATAGATGCCCTGTTGTTGTACAAAAAATGATCTGATAAAAGATCTGATTTACACCGACGACTGATCTTATCACTTGGTCAACTAGCTTTATCATCTTCGTTTTGGTAAACAGCATGCTTACACTAGCCAAGCAGGGACCAAATCTTTCAGCATTGAAGATTACTAAGAAAAGCAACATACCAGTATTAGCATTAGCATTGTTAGCCCACCCTAAACAGAGCACACACTTCCCTCTTCACAACAGCAGCAAACCCTAAAATTCTGCCCTAACAGAAGCCATTATAAGATCCCAGTAACTCATACACAGTCAAAAACACATAACACAACTTACTACTTTTATTATTCCCCTCCAGGCTCATGCAAAGCATGCTGGGTACCGAAAACCCCATTGACAACAATGTTACGATATGCATGTAAAAAGGACTATTCATGAATTCTTTGCTAAAAAAAAAATTCTAAATCTGTGCGTTGTAACCATAGAGGTTGTAACATTGCTTTCATAACAATTCACACATAATTCACATTCTCATTTGGATAGTTTAATGCATATTTAATGTATTTTTTTTCAATGAACTGCTTTTAATCACAATGATTATTCTTATCAGAGTCTCACATTACTTTTTTTTTTAAATGATAAAACAGCATAAATTAAAAGAGGTGCATAACAAATATTACCATGATGTCTAAATCTAATAAATGTCCACCTAAAACATTTGTAATTAAACTAGGGCTGTCAAACGATTAATCGCATCCAAAATAAAAGTTTGTGTTTACATAATATATGTGGGTGCACTGTGTATAATTATTTTGTATATATATATAAATACACACACATGCTTGTGTATTTAAGAAAACAAAATCTTATTTATACATAAAATATTTATATTTATTACATATAATATAAATGATATACAGTATAAATCTATGTACAGTATATAAATTAAAATATTTCTTAAATATATACAAGCATGTGTGTGTATTTATATATATATAATTATACACAGTGCACCCACATATGTTATGTAAACACAAAGTTTTATTTTGGATGCAATTAATCGTTTGACAGCCCTAAATTAAACATTTAAATAATTATATTTAATAACAATTCTAGAAAAATAGGCAAAATAGGCTTCATTCAATTTTATTTAAGCAATATATGCACACACACATATATGCATACATACATACAGGGTGATTAATACATATATGATTAATATACTGTGTGTGTGTATATATATATATATATATATATATATATATATATATATATAATCTTAAATAAAATGAATTCTATTGTTGTTCTATTGTCACAATAAGAAACACAATATTGTTTCATCTTGTGTGTTTGTTGACATGTTCATGACAGGTTCGATATTCACCCTCTAACAGTTCAAGTAATAGAATAATAGCCTACTTTTTGATTCTCAAATGAAAGATTAGAGACCACCATTCTAATTGTGAAAGTTATTATGCATCATCGCGGCTTCTTGGCAACAGCGTGGAGAAATCTATCCGCCCCCATCCTCTTATTTGTAACGCGCAGCTTTGACTTGTTCCCCATTCAATGCATTATCCAGACATTAAACTCCCCACTGTCAGCATGTGTGCACTCATACAACCATTACCAACAGCAGAACAGAACTTTAAGAAGATAATACTACAAGAGCCCACAATAAATGCACAACGTGCGCACTCCCATGTCACAATAAAACAGCGGGGAGCACGAGACGGTAAACAAACAAGCCAAAAAAAAAAAAAACCTAGTGCCATCACCCATCACAATGCCCATTTAACCTCGAACGGTTCAATTATTTATGTATCACCCCTCCTCTATGTTTAGCACCCATGCATTGGTCTCTGCTGCAATAGCGTTTTGCATACAATTGCTACAGCTGTTAAAAACGTCCACTTTTAAACCCCGTTGAAGTTCCGAAATAATCATGGAATCGTTGGTTGAATAATTGAATAATACGATATAACTGAGAACAGTTCATCGCAAGCGATGTGAATATAACAATAGTGCGGCTTACCTTTGAAACACCTCCTGTGGTTTATGTCCGGTTAGATGCTTCAGTGTGTCTGCATCAGCACCAGCACAGTGAGCACACACGGGGAGCGCCCTTCTTAGGGACCGTCTGTGAAGGGACACGCCATCAACACACACGAAAACTGAAGGCTCGTGCGAACTATAAAGTTTTGATTGTTTTTCTGGGGATCACAGGTGTGAGCTTGTTAGCATGGCTCACATCATAGAATGCTAACTTAATAACTTAATATCTGACTAAAACAATAAAGAGAACATGTAAGGGATAGTTTACCGAAAAATTAAAATTCTGCCATTATTTACTTACTCACATCACATGTTGTATGAGTTTCTTTCTTCTGCTGAACACAAAAGAAGATATTTGGAAATATGTGGGTAACCAAACAGTTGATGTCACCCATAGTAGAACGAACCAATGGTGCCCCAAAACTGTTTGGTTACAGCATTCTTCAAAATATCTTCCTTTAAAGGTTGTGTTCATCAGAACAAATACATATACAGGTTTGGAACTACTTGAGGGTGAGTAAATGTGTTAATTTTTTTGGTGAACTATCTCTTTAAATAAACGTATCTGCTAAAAATTAAGCGTTGGATTGCACTGCCATCTGCTGGAGAAAGTTGTACGTGCGTGTCGTCCATCGATAACAATGAGTCGAGGTGGGGGAAACAGTATGATTCGGCGGTATACATGTACAACAGGGATATAAAATCACAAAGCAATATAAAATAATAAATAAACATATACCCATCACACAAGTGTGTAGCTATAACGTTACAAGTCTGATTGTCTTTTAGTGAAGCTGGATGATGATGTTGTAGGCTACCCACACCAACAGGCGGCGTGCTAAACCACTGAGAGGCATTGCGAAGAGATGCGTGCTCCGTGTTACAGAATGATAACTGATTTAGTAACGTTATTTCTGAATGAATTACATGTGGTTTATCTCCTAGCACGAGGGTGAGGGATGAGCTCGAGCTCCAGTGCTGCTGATCCATCAGCTCCTCCTCTGGTCTAACCGGCGTCAGGTAACCGAGCAATATCCTCATCCAGCTCTATAATATGCGTTTCAATAGGCTAGCATTATGTGTCGGGCCTCATAGTTCCTTCCTCTATTCATTACAAACCATGTCTATACGTTAGTTGGTATTAGAATTTAGTATTAGACAATCCTTCACATCACATCCTTCTCTCGCGCATTTCATGATCACTAATAAAAACATATGCTATGCCTAAACCTTATATTTACACCCTATAGGATGTATGTAAATGATGTGCTGTGTAACAAATAGTAGAGTTTAGTTCCGTTGATAAAATCGTTTAGTGTCCGTTCTTCTATTAGCTTATCTGTGCATATTTAATACTTTAGCATAGTTAAATGTGCAGAGACTTTTAAGTAGTCTGTAGATTTAGGCTATTTATTGCTTATTAAAAAAGTGTAGACACTGTGGCTGTCAACATTGCTTATTAGGAATCAGATTTAGCAACTTGGGCTCATCCAATGGTGTGAGTTAGGGGCGGGGCTATCTTTTTTCCGACCAATGGAAGACCGGGGAGTAATATATAAAAATATATATATTTCCAATTATTTATTTAAATTATTTATTTATTATTATTTATTTATATTAAGTCCGATTTTTTCCGGCCACACATGAAGACAGGATAAAGTATTTCAGTTAAGTTCGTTTGGACTTACTTGATAATTGATGGCAAAATATCTTAACATTATCTTCACACTATCTATTTTTTTTAAAACTGCTCCTGTTCCAAAGTTTACAGTTTCTTTCATATTTATAGGGATGCACTACTGATACCAAATCCAAGATAAAATATATGATTTTATCATCTTCAGCTGACTATTTTGTTTTATTAATTTAACAGGCATGTTGTTCAGGATGGTGAAACTCAGACTACTCAACACGATTGCTCCTGCATACTTCTACACGGCAACCGTGGTCACGTTCGCCCTCTACTTCCTCCTCTTCATGCCCACTGTATTCCAAAGGCAAGATGTGATGTTAAATCCAACCATGCTGACCCACACTGCCGTCTTTCTATTCTTCATGGGGAACGCGCTGGGTAATTACACAATGACTATATGGTACCCATCTGAGAGTGCCAACGAAACAGTTATTCCAGTCTGTTCACCCGACTGCCCAGACAGAATTGACGCACACTACCTCCTGAATGGACGCCACTTCTGTAAAGTGTGTAAGAAAGTGATTCTAAAACGGGACCACCACTGCTTTTTCACAGGAAACTGTATTGGTAATAGGAATATGCGCTACTTTATTATGTTCAGCATCTATACGTCCTGCTGTTGTCTCTATTCATTGGTAATTGGGGTGGCGTATCTTACGATGGAGTACTCCATTTCCTTTGAGAACCCACTGACATTCCTCTCTCTTCTGCCACTCTCGACGGGTTACTTCTTCCTTGGTAAGTGCAATGCTGGGTTCAGACAGAGAATGTCTAATTGAAGAGAATTGGCACTGGCTGGTTACTTCCGGTTTCTGGACTGGCTGCAGTAACACGTCTCTGTCCATGCGGGGGCGCTTCACCCCCAGAAATCCACTTTTCTCAGGATGTATTTTTTTGTCAAGTAATTTTAAAGTTGCATTCAAACGGGAGAGCTAAGATAATACACTCAGCTGAAAATTGCATTTTTAAGTTCACTATCTGTTCTAAAAATCTAAATAAATGCGAATTTATTTAAATTTATTCATAAAAAAAATGCGGACGAACAATGGGCTCTATGCACGGCGTTATTTCCGGTGAAGGATTAAAGTCCCCGTGAACCGGAAGTTGCAAACGATTTTTCTCCAGTGCTGTGACGTATTTCCAAGTGAAACGGAATATTGAACAGAGGGCAGGGTTTTACTCTAGCGCTCCTCCTCTCCATCTCTCGCTCATAGCAAACTAACGGTTTGAGGGGAGTGGTTAAGCGTTTCCCCACCCAAACTGTGAAACCTACGTCATCAGAAAAAGAAACCGTTCCAGACCGGAAGTAACTTTTCAGATTTTGATTAAAGATTACTAAGGTAAAATATTTTTTTTAATATTTCACTTGCACGGATTAATTGTTCACCACAAGATTAGTAATATGCGCTAACAAAGTAAATAGGTTCAATTTTGATTTCACGGGGACTTTAAGGATGCTCGATAACTTCCGCCGATCATAGAGTCCAATGCAATACCGAGAATTTATATTGAATTTTATACTCCATGGTTATACTAAAGAAACGTTAGTCACAAAAACAGATAAAACAGACACCCCTCGTTGTGTTTATGCTTCTTTTTAAAATTATATTAAATAAACATAACTATATATAAAATTACATCTAAACGTATGTACGTTTCGTTTCAAAGACGGGAGGACAGTAAATATTGAAGACTCTCCCATAATCCCGTTTTCTCCGGTTTTCCTCCGCTTTAATCTACACAACCGGAAATGAACGAGCATCCTAACGTCAAATGCGGAACTTATGCGTGCATATAGCCCATTATAGTGGAGGCACTTCGCAACCCGTTGAACACTGGAATTAGCATTAAGCTAACACACCGCTTTTGTAGTTTGTTTATGCTCTTGTTCCCGGAAGTCAGCCGCTAGTTCCCTCCCCTTCCGGTCGACCATCATGGTACCTTATTTCAGAAAAATATTAAATGGTAGTCAATGGCGAGAGACAACAAATATTTTGATCTCGCCCTGAATTACACATATGATGTTTGTCAATTTAAAAGATACATTTTAAAGTCAAGAAAGTCGCAGTTTGATGTAAAACTGTTGAGATAAGACTGTGAAAATACAATACAATTACAAAGACTACAAACCCCAAAGGCGCATATTTTCTCTCAATGAATGAAGCTAATGGTGCGTTCTATTATTCATCCGTCTCGGAGATCCGATTCGGACGACAGACGTTGCCTAGCAACACGCCCCCTTTCCTCGGATTTCTCCTCTCGGACGTCGGACAACCGTGAGGACACCGAGAAAGAATTCCGTTTCGGAATTCAAGATGGCTGCGCCCTGTGACTTGTAAGAATGAATTGTTTTTGAACCGCTTTGGTATTTTAAATGACGGTTATAATCACTCGTATTACTGCGTCCCCTGTAGGTATGGGAATCGGTTGTTGTGAGTGCAATTACTGACGTTGCTAGCGTTGCTAACAGAAGATTAACATGAAAAACATTAATAAAGTGAACATTTTCAAGTTCAAATGGCTGCGTTTTAATAAGGTGTAGTCATAATATTTTTTCGTTTTAATGTAAGTGCCTGGTACTCGGTCAGTGCAACCATTATAACAGCTTTCCGGGTGGCGTCCATTTTTTTCTCCGACTCGGACGCGTAAAACAAATAGAACGCTTGAAGTGTGGACGTGACGTCAAATCCGAGATCCGAGACGGTTCGTTGGGTATAATAGAACGCACCATAACTTCACTGAAGCGAACGTCTGTCATTGTTTCGATAGTCTTGCGTTATAATCGTAACATTAGGAGTGTTTTGTACCAGACTGCACACACACGAGCAATGGATCTCGCTCGTTGTTTCGCTTCCCGGGAGATGTAGTTCATTGAGCGATTTTCACATAAAACTAAATGTTACTCTTCTGTTTTATGACAAACTGCGACTTTCTTGACTTTAATAAAATAATTTTTTTAATTGACAAACATCATATGCGTAATTTAATGCACAGTTCAGACGGAATAAAAAGACAAGTTGTCTCTCGACATTGACTACCATACATATTTTTTCCAAAATAAAATAAGGTCCCATGACCCGGAAGCGGAGGGGAGGAACTTAGCGATGATTGGTCGGACATATTTCTTGTCCACACCACACTACGAATTTAAGAGTCACAATCGTATAATCTGACACAGCTAACTATCGTAACAAAACAAAAATATCATGTAGCCTGAATCTGGCATAATCCAGCCTGGCTTTCTTGATTTTTCTCAAGGATAAGACAACTTTTTTTTTTTTTTTTCAGGTTTGATTTCAGGTCTCCAGTTCTTTCTTGTTGTAATGCTGTACATCTGGCTGGGTATCGGACTAGTGAGTGCCGGCTTCTGTTGTCAACAGCTTCTACTAGTAGCCCGAGGGCAGACCTGGTGTGAGCTGCAAAAAGGGTATCTGTCAGAGAGTCGGGGGACCTGGCGTGCCAACCTGACCGATGTTTTTGGTTCCCGTTGGGCTGTGGGCCTTTTCCTGCCAGTTCAGACTGTTGAGAGCGTACCTGGGAATTGGCAGGTCTACCATGACCACAAACATGACTGAAAACCCTATCAGTGTGTTTATCATAATTGGACCTGTGTGGACCAGATATTATATGTGATAAGGGCTTCAGTTCATGTGACTTGTATAAGCCTGTGCAATTGACCTACCTTTTTAGTGGATTTCTGTCATCACCATGCAAATTAGGAGAACATTATGTCACTAAGATGTGGTAACCCCCATATCTATCCATCAGCACTATCCTGAAACTTAATTTGAGCCCTAGAGCAACGGTAACCTCAGAGAAGGAGGCCAGGATTGAAGGATGGATTTACAAAACAACACACACTAGGTAATCAGCACACTGTTACACAAGTGGCCTGCTAAATTGTGGGTGACTTTTAGTTTAGTTAGTAAAATTTCCAAACAGGTAATGCATTGTGGGAAATGTTCTTCCACCCTGGTCCACGTTAATATGACAAAATATTAGGGGTGTAACAATATCCTACGTCACAAATTAATATATCGCCACAGTATCGTTGATAGTGACAATATGTATTATGTGTAGTTCACCCAAAATTTCAATTTCTGTGTGAGGAAATAATTCAAGTTTACAGAGTTTTAGTGTGAGTACTACATTAAACTATTATATATAATGATGAATATAATGTATAATAATGCAATGGGGGAATATTTGTGGGTCCACATATCTTATTAACATAAACACCAGTAAAAAGTGGCCTACATTATTTTAAATATATGTAGTCAGTGAAAGAGTGCAATAATATTAATCTAAAATAGTTCTGTATTTTCAGTTTCAGAATCATGAATATTTTTATTCTGATGTCACCATTGTCCTTTGCATTGTGTTACCAGCACCAAGTCCACAATGTAATAACGAATTTAGCATTTTAAACAACAGTACATTTTTTGTTAACCTTTTACCACATCGCAATAATATCCAGTATCGAATCATTACATGAGAGTATCGTTACACCCCTACAAAATAAATACTAAAAATAAACATACCAAGTCACCACCCTTCACAAGTTACAATACCTGTCCTGTATTCAGCAAGGATGCATTAAACTCAAAAGTGACAGTAAATACATTAAAAATATTAAAAATAACCTTTGCTGTTCTTTTGAACTGTATATTAATCAAATAGTTTCCACAAAAATATTAAGCAGCACAACTATTTTAAAAAAATCAGTTTAAATTGTAATAATATTTTACAATATTAACGTTTAAGGTATTTTAGATCAAATAAATTCAGGCATAGTCTTAAAAAAAATCAGCAATGGTCTTCTTTAAGAGATTTCTTAAAAATAAAAAATAAACGAATCTAACTTTTAAACAGTAGTGTACACTCATGCTAAAAAAAAAAGGGGGGGGGGGAGCCTAAAATGATCAAAGCACTAAGAAGCACTAAGCTTAACCACAAATTACTGATCGGGAATTAAGCAAAAGCACTCCTTTAAAGTCATGTGCAAAGGCAGAATGATGCTTTGGCATGTTACGGGAAGTTTGATTCAGATTTGGTTCTGCATAGTGATGTGGAGTGATGAATCACAATAAAACAAGAGTTGCATGAAGATGCACCAGAGTGGTGTCTTTGAAGATCTGGTAAGAAATACTGTAAATAAATGCATCTCTACAGTAAAGCATGGAGGAAGATGTGTCTTTTTACTGCTGGTATTCACTTTTTACTGCTGGTATTGAAACCTATAGTGAATATTTGGTCTCACATTAAACTTCGGAGACATTTAAAGTACTCATGCACTGTTTAAAGCCATTAGCACACTGACTCAGCTTCCTGTAAAAAGCCTTCTGCAAGTTTAGTCACATGGCTTAAACATTTAAAGAAAACAAAGGGAAAGTCTATCCTGTACTAAATTTCTTCATCTATTTACATTATTTGTGCAATTCTTGCTAATTTCCACACCTGTGATTTGTGGTTAAAATGGTCAAATGTGCATTTTAATTCCACTTCTATTCGAGATTTGAATTTCTGCAATCTAAATTCAATTCAAACTAATTTGAGATACTGAACTGGAATTAATGTATCGATTTCTGAATGCACTCGCTGATTATCACGATTTTTGTTTGTGAATGATTAAAATGTCTCCACAATCTGCTTTTGTTGGGAAATTGTAGTATTGTGCTATCTGTCCAAATATTGTGTAGCCTACAACACAGCGTACATTCACATCAAATGTTAAACACGGTTTGGGTTACGCTCACCACCACGAAAGTTTATCATTTGCATGCGTTATTAAGTCTTGCCTGTTCTGACATAAATAAGCTTTTCTGAGCACGTAAAACTTCGAAAAGCCTGTCACACAGCACGCGAGAACTGAACTAAGTTTTCTTTCCCGTCTTAACCTGCCAAATACATGCGAGGTTTACATAAACACAGTTGTTTATATCTTTAGTGAAAGTAAATTATGATTATGCATGCGTTTCATTATATTGGATCTGTGCATTACAGCAGCCTAAAAAACACTACCGTCTGTCATTAATGTCATCAAAATACAGAGAAAATCCCTCACTACTCTTGACTGAATAACGTCAGTAAGAATCATTGTATATTAAATTTACAGTGAAGTCTATGTAGTGTTTTATTCATTTTTGAACGCCACTGTTACAGTAAATGCACCTATTATATTCAATTTGTCCTATTATTTGTAATTTTCATCTTTGTTCCTATTATTAACAAAGAATAAAACAATAATAAGATATTGGTTGTATCTGTTATGATGGTGCAAGGAGATGAACCCAAAAGCAGACAGAGTGCAATGAACACAAGGTATATTGGTACAAAAACAGGAAAACAAAACCCTCGAGGGGGCGAAACACGGACGGGACAAAGACTCAGGCTGACAAGACTAGACTATGACTGCACAACCAACAGACCAACCAAACCTTCTAGTAAATGCTCACAATGACAAGACTTTCCATAAGGTACTCACATGTATTAGCAATGAACCGACACAGGACAGCAAACACGAGGGGATTAGGGAGACTAATGATAACAGGTGACATAGTTAAAGCAATAATGACAAAAAACGAGACTAACAAGGGGCGGGGTTAGGTAACGAGACAACACAAGCACATGGCCCTGTCATGATCCTAAGACAATCAAGGACACTAGGGCAGAATCATGACAGTATCGCCCGTACTTTGGCCTAAATGGTCTGTTTTTCTTTTATTTCTTTTTTATACATTAAAAGGCTAAAAAAATATAATAGGGAAATTAGTTTGGATGAACTGCTCTTAAAAACCAAAATGAAAAGGAATCGTGATAAGATTGTGGAGCGTGATCCTGTCTGAAGAAAAACATTAGTTAGAAAGATAATTATAAAACCTTTATTTTATTACACTTTTTTTTGAGTTTGGTGCTATATTAAAATGTTATTTACATTTCCCCTTGACAATGCTAAAAACAATTGTGGTGATTTACAGCAAGCAATAGATGTGTGTATGTTTTTGCTGTGTTCCCTTATCCAACACGGTCAAATTAATTAGTAATAATGGAGGGTCACACTGTTCTGTAACTGAAACCCTCTTATAAAACAGCAATCCACTATTAAGTTTCATGTCAGTGTTTAAATTATTATAAGTGCTTCGCTCTCAGTCCTGTGATGTTTTGAAACATGGTCCTCGATGTCTATCTAGACTGGATTAGTTGTCTGTTTGGCTTAGTTGTTCAGAAACAGGAGTTTATTGTTTATTTCCATTGCCAATTGCACTATCAATGCTAAGATTATATATATATATATATATTCATTTTTCTACTACCTAGTTAGCAGTTATACTCTTGTGAATTAATACATCTGTATTTGATGCATGGAAAATATGAAATACAATAATGAATCTATACATTTTCTGTGATTTATTTATTTATTTTTCAAGAAAAATATATATCTCATAATTCTGAGATAATTAATAATTATCGTTAATTCAGAAAAACAGAGCAAAAACTTTTTTCCCATGAAAAATGAATAATTAGATTTAGTTTCCTTAAATAAATGCAATATGCTTCTGTAATATATTTATATAAAACTATTAAATATTACTATATAATATTAAACAATTTAATAGTTTCAGAGATCTTCAATCTTTAACTTCTATCTTAAAACACATTACAACATGATTTACTGAACAAATCATTGTTCAAACTTCAAACTTGTTCAAACCAGTGCATAAATTGAAATTTATTTAAAATGCCTTTATTTTTTAAGGCACATAAAAAGTCAAATGATTTCAACACAACACTAATACTAAGACTATTGCATAGATTTCTACAGCAAAAAAAAAATAAAATAATAATAAAATTGTGTAATATCGGCTTCTGATAAATCAACAACTTGTTTATAGAGTACAATACATCCCAGCTCACTCATTACCCTAGTACCTGCTTTCCCAAACACAAACAATCTGTATGCATGCAGTATAACAGATTGCTACAGGAAGAGAATTTGCCCATTCACACCCCAACTGAAAGAAAAATCACACTCTCTCTATGCAAACGTCCCACTTAAGAATTCATCACAATGCATTACAAATAATAACCATTCAAATACACCCAGCACAAATGGTTATTAGTCCTCTTACTCTTTATTCGCATTGATAACCGTAACAAAACATTTACTAGGAGATGAAAACACATTAAACACATACAAATCATGTTTATTACAAAGACATTATACAAATCCTCAAATAGTCACGAGGACGAATCAGAATTTCACATTTTTAACTGAATTAAAAAAATATTATTGTGCACTTAAGTATAATCTCTTAAAGATAAAACACACAAATATGTGTAATTTCCCAAAGGCATTTATTAGATAATAAATGTTTTATTTTCCATTTTTGTCATTAGGAGCAGAAAATATTTGTACTTTCCAGTTCCGGCGTTCCAAGGCCTCCATTCCAAATAGTAACCAATTAGAATAAAATATGGTTAATCGCTTTGTTTTTAAACTCAGAGTATAGCATTATTTCACTATCAAATGAATCACTTTATTCAGTAAAAAATGCAGTTACCTAAGCATTGTATTTACATACTTTAGACAAAACCGCAGGTGTAAGGATGACTGATATCGGACAGATAGCATATGATGTGATAACTAAATCTCCAAAGTCTCAAATCTTTGACATTTCCAACTGAATCTACAAAGAGAAGCTGAACATTTCCAAAGCTTCTGAGGTCTAAGCAAAAATATGGTTATTCCATAATCCTGCAGCAGTTACTGCTACTACACAATGCAACCCGGATCCTCGTCCGCATCCTTTAGAGAGTCCAGCGGTGATTCCATGGGCGTCTCGTCACTGTTTCTAGAGTTCTGGAGGATGAGCTGTAATCTGGTCCAGACTTTGGGGTCTCCACTATATATGGCCTCCAAGAAGAGGTCAGTCTGAGCCTGCAGACTCTGAAGTTGGGCCTGGGAACGTTTGTTCTGCCGAATAAGTTCCTTTGTGCGCAGCGTGATGCCCAGCAGGCCTGACCGATTCAGAATATTATACGTGTTGCAGAAGCGTTTGCGTTTGCTGGAACTTGGAGAGAAGTCATCTGACATATTCTCCCCATCACTGCCCTGGGCGACTGAAGAATTGGGACACGTCTGAGGGAATGAAGCGAGGAGGGAGTGAAATGGTGAAGTGGTGGTATGGGGCTCCTGAAGGTCAGAAAGCCTGGATGAGGGGTTTTCCACACCCATGTCTCCCAAAGAAGCAATGTTAGGGTCTACTCCATATCCCGTGCATGTCTCAGAATCATCCTGCTTCAAAGAGCAACCGTGGAAAGGTTTTTCATCATAACAGCGTCGTTGATGTCTACCACTGTGACTGTGGTTTGCCCTCTTATGGACGGCACTGGGACCCTGGTCGACTGTAGACCCTTGTGGAGGGTGTGGGACAAAGGTGTTTTGCATGGGAACATGCTTTCTGGAAAGTTTCTGCTTGTCAGAGCTCTGGCTGCTACCGTCACTGGTGGGTATGACTGGCTGTAGGAAAAGCAGCTGAGACTGAGGAACCACATCCAATGAAGTGTTTAAGCTCCATGGTTTTAACGCAGGGGCCACAGAGTTTGGCTGAAACAAGAATCATCAAGGAACAATTTTTTAAAACAGATACTCTTTAGTTCTCATCCACAATAACAGGTGGGTCAATAGGTACGTTTCCACTGCCGGGCCAGAGCTAACAGCGAGCCGAGCCGAGCCAGTGGCCTCAAGCACCGGGCTTGCGTTTCCACTGCCGGGCCAGTAGCCCCGCCCCTAACATGCCTTTCTGGATCAAACGACATACAACCCAACCCATTTCAGCGGGTATTATGAATGTATTTATTTTTGAAGTTAGGAAGATAGCATGTATATTAACTGCAGTAGTGTTCCGATTGTCTCGCGAGTCGCCAATACAATACAATACTGCACTCGCAACTTCTTAATATTTTCCTGAACTTGAAGGGTTGCTAAATGAATGCTTAGCTTAGAAAGTTCAGCATCGATGTATTTTAAAAAGTCCTCGTTTCTTCACACGCGTCACATTGACGTTGTACCCTTTCTTCTGCCCAAATGCTCAGAAGAGCTTTGGTCTTTTGCTTTGGCGATTCTCCATTTCGAGCAGCCATTATTTTGCGCGATATAAAAAAAGTGAAATGTCCATCTTGCTTCAGATCATAATATTCCATAACACCGATAAACTCCGCCTTTTACTTTGAGAACGCCTCTAGCCCGAGCTGGCCCGCTTTTCGACGGGCCAGAAATCCTGAGTAAGCCCCGATCAAGCCCCGGAAGTGACCGTGGAAACGCGACTGGCCCTGGCCCAGCAGTGGAAACACGGCTAATGATGTGTCTTATTCATTTGTTCAATGATTGTACAAGCAAGAAGCAAAGTTTGACCCTTATAACGTACCATGGACAAATGTCCATATTTAATTAGCCGCAAGTGGCACCAATAAAATAATTTGTTGTGAAATGAATCACCTTGTATAAATATGTCACATTTAACTAAACCAATTTCTGAAAGGGTGTGAAAACTTGCCTTAGAGAATAAGTCAAATGAATGTTTTTATATCATTGATTTTGAAACTTTTTAAATGTACATTATTAGAACTTTCACATTTTTCTTACTTGCCTACTTTAACTGGCCGCATTACCTTGAGTAATTCAAAGTACATGAAAACATGGCATTCACAGACTAGTTTCAATGATTACAGACATCTCTGATCATATTCAGCTTTTTCTTGGTGATTTTTCGTGAGGCAAAGATGTTGAGCAGCAAGCACTGGAAAGTATTCAATCACAATGTAAAGAGCTGTAACTATCAGCATATTAACTACAGGGTTGACCGAAACAATACTATAACTCAAACACAGATGTTTCAAGAAAAGCAACTATGGAATTAACAGAATTGTATGAGTGTGTAATACCTGCTTGAGGACAAGGTTGTTCATTACGATCATGCGAGAGACGCCAGGAATGAAAGGCACCCGAGAAGCTGTCGGCATGTTTTGAGATGCAGTACTGGTTGGTCCCCCGTCTTCAAAGTCTGTCTGGTCCAAAGCACTGTAATATCCTGAGCTGGCATCTATGGTGGGAAAATAGTGTTAAGAGTAATACCTAGTAATTATGTGCAGTTATACACCTATAACAAGCTAATTATGAACAACATTTTATAAAATGGAGTTAAATTGCATATGATGACACCACTGCATTTGAGAAAGACAAGTGGAGCACTATATTTGGATTTTTAAACCATAATACACAGAAAAACTAGGGCTGTGAAATCGACTTTCTCCTGTAACCTGAGATTGTGTTTGTTTGTTTGTTTTTAACATTTTCATGGCGTGACAAATGTATGGTAAACTATATTAGGTTTTTAAAATCTATTTTTGAATAAATCATTCAATTTTAAATGTATAATTATATACCGGAGTCCCACACATAACGTGGGAAAACAATATGCATATAGTGGCCACGAATTTGCAGTTTGTTCCCATCATGACTTACTAATACGTCAGCACATTTTACTAATTCGTTCCCTCGCTTTAAGAAAATCATGCGCACAATATAATCATTTGTTCCCTCGTTTTACTAAATCGTGGCCACATTGTAATAATAAATAGTTCCCTTGTTTTGGTTAAATCCAAACGAGAGCGAATTAGTAAATTGTGGGAATGAATTCTTAATTTGTGGCCTTGATTTAACTAAAATGAGTGAACAAATTCTTAATTCGAGGCCACGATATATTCTGTATAGGCCTATATATTTGGTCAAACTTTTTTCAATATTTCTGTCCGACTGTTAACTGAATATAAAAGGTTGCTCATAGAGTTAAACCCAGCACAGTCTAATAAAACAAGCTTCAGGGGTATAGGATTTGGATGAAGAGAACATGTTGGTGGATCTTCTCCTAATAATAAAAACTTGAATGTCATCCTGGAGTGGCCTATTTGGCAACGGGTATAAACAATCTTGGGTTACACTTTATTTTAAGGTGTCCGTGTTACAGTGCAACTATACATTTAAGCTTTTGGTAATGATAACTAGCTACATGCACTTACTATAGGGTTAGGATTATGTTAATATATAAAAATGACAATATATTTAAAAATAAATGACAAACCTGAATCTTTGTCCATCTCATTGGAGGCTTTCCGTTTGTTGCCCATGTTGGATCTTCTCTGGTGGTCCAATTCGTTTGATTTCAGTCCATCTGTACAGCCCTGATCCAGGCAGTGACTGAGAGAAGGACAGAGCCATGGATTAAAAATAAAGGAAAGTCAAAACCCTGAAATATGATAGTCTAGTGTAACATGAGCACATTAATGACTCGAATCAATGAAATACACCTCCAAACTGACTTAATATATGGTTTATTCGTGCAAAATCCCTTTATCTTGAATTAGTAAATAGTAAATAAACAGCTGATGAATTAATAACAAGCAGTTACTGAAAGAGAGACATACAACAACAGCTATTAAAGCACCGCAGAAATAACACAATACATATCAACATCCTAAAATATAGCTTTAAAATAACAACAGCACCTTATTTATTTCTTAGTTTAGATCTAGAAGAACATACGAACAGAGTTTAGATACGTAGTTACTGCAGCACTTGACACACGATGCCAAACACGAGACTCTCCTAATAAACACACACACGTCAACAAAATAAAACGCACGTTTTTTAATACTTACCAAGATAAATTCTCTTCTCTGGTTATGGTTTGTGTGTGAAATGACGCTTGACGACTGGCGAGTTCAAACTAAGCTTATATTTCTGTTGTTGTGGGAACCAGACTGTCCAGAGTGCAACGTGAGTTTACAAACGTAGCTCCGCCTTCACGGCTGACTTAAATGGCTGTTACCAGGGGAACAGCCTATTCGCCACCTACTTGACTCCGCCTTTAATTTGCATATCGCCTTCTGATTGGTGCAGAGTTGAACCCTTGCGACTGTAAACGTGACTGTGAAATGTGGTGTGCATTTCTCACACGGTGAAATCTGCACTGCAGCGTCAAGAGTGAATCTAGCACGCGTTGCAGCGTCATCATCCTCCTATCCAGCCCATCATTTTTGAAAAATAAAAAATGTTGTGCAAATAATGGAAGCCACGTAATAAAAACATAGGTATTGTGATTTTTCACGCAGTTCAAACGTCAGTGACATCCAAATAAGTTTGCGTATCATAAAGTTTGTAAATAAATAAATATTGTGTGGATGTGTTTATTGTTATTATTATTTGCCACGGGTAAAACTGTAATTTCTTAAGAATTATTAAGTGTTCTTTCTTTTTGAATGGTAATTGCAAGTGTACTCTTGGCTGGCCCTGATTTCACTAACATTACCTTCACCTGAAACCTGATCTTAAACACAAATGTAACTAAAGGGCATGGCCTTTGGCACACGTGCAACATCAACAGAATTGCCCACCAACAGATTCAGAAATGCCTCTAGGGTAACTCACAAACTCCAACTTCAAGAAGTCAGAACCGCCTATTCATTGCCAAATGTATTGCATTAAAGTGTAAATGCATCAAATCAATCTAAATTTGGTTACTGGCTACATGAAAAGAACCTAATAAACGGATCAAGCATTCTAGAAATCTTTTATAATAATAATAATAATAATAATAATATTGGCTTGGCTTTATTGGTGGTTTTATTGAATTTAGTGACTTTAATGCAGAATGTGGGACAAGAACAGATCTGTTTACCCTTTAAATGAGCACTTGTATGCTTTACTGTATACAGCCTAACTGAGATTTTATAATATGGAGCAGATATTATTGAACTGTGACTTTACAAATCCTACATTTAAACAATTTTAAACTACATTTCCCAACCACAACTTCCATTCACGATCAGATAATCAGATAAAGTAATATGCTCGGTATTTTGTCCCAAACCCAGAGCATTTTGGCCCAAACCCTTGGTTAGTAACCAGGGTGAGTTGCATAAACTGCTAAAACTAGTCTTACAAGTTAGTCTTATAATTTTTTTTTCTTCAAAACTCTTCATAACTTCGTAAATAAAATAAAAAAATTTCATAAATAAAAAAACATTTCTTTAGTCAAAATGACACACACATTTAGACATACACACCAAATATTTCACAAAACATTTTTAATGATAATCAGAAATAAACAAAAGTCACTCTATTCTGAAAGTTACTCTTAGATTTGTATAATATTAATACATATTAACAGTATTTTATGAAAAACACACAACATTTTTATACATTGGGAATGAAATAGCCCTTTGGTGAAAAATCTTGCATTTATATTTAGGGCCCTACGCTCAGTCAGCAGCATAGATTATTAATGCCATATTAATGCCTCTTTGGTTCGATTCCGGCACTTTACAGACCCGAGTCTAAAGTGTGGGAAATTCAGTAATTTTCACAATAATAAAAATACACCAACATTCACTCGTATCGTGATGAACGTCTGTCTCGGTTCCTGTTGACTGGCCCTTTCAGAGCAAAGTCTTTGTCCTTACACAGTGCACACATCAAATATGTTACTATTACCATAACTGAAAAACTATAATGATTTATGTTATTCCGGGATGACTTTCAGATCAGTATTATGAACACGTTGTGAATGTACGCACTGTAATTATTTTACTATTACCACTAGAGGTCAGTATGTCAATCCACTTATTTGATGCTCAGGTCGAGGACTAAACCACCAGAGAAGCTTTAAAAAGAAAGCACTACATATGAAAACATCACCTAACCACGTTTTCACCTGTAAAGTGTAATATAGGCATAGTTGTGATAAGAATATCTTTGGCATTGTTTGTTCTGTGGTTCCTCCTGGATTTATTAACAAACACACAATGGCTCTTTTAATATATTGATTAATGGAACACAAACAGTTGTACTTCAGTGGATTTCAATAAATAAGAGTTGGAAAAGCTGGCTGCTAAACCAGTTCCCCTACTATTACTATACTACTTCTACTGCTACTAATGTTATTAATATAACACAATAAAATAATCTTATTATATTATAATAATAGAAGTCCTCAGGGTTTAAGTCAGTCTCAGATTTTAGGTTTGTTTTCTTCTTTAGAGACTAGCACAACAGGAGTTTCCTGTATAGATCACTGCAGACACAAGCCCCGTCACCATGACAACTGCGCATCTGGGATCGTGGGATGCGGAGCAGTGGCGGTATCCATGAGTGAATGATGATGATGGTGAGGGTCGCACAGAAGGGGGAGGGTGCGCGTGATTGGCTGGCATCTCGGCAAGACAGCGTTTACCTACGGGGAGGCTGACACCTGTGTGTGTGTGTGTGTGTGTGTGAGAGAGAGAGAGAGAGAGCACATATCACTGTAAGTGGGCTGCTTACACTCAGAAAACAATACACTCTTTGTCCTTGTGATCTTCAAATACATAAAAAAAACCTGGTCGTATCAAAATGTCACTGAAATGTGGAGACATCATTTAAGCTTTGATTTAGAATGTAATAAGATGATTTTATTCATGTGGTAATGTCTGAAATTACTGGCTTTAAAGTCACATTGAAATTTTAAATGGTATATTGCAGGATTATAAACAGAGCTCTCAAGTTTTAAAGACAGGCAAGAGTGACATCCCCAACCCGTGTGATAACGAAAATATGACTAGGTCTAGAATACTTGTTTGAATCATTTTTCGAGTCATTTGATTCATTCAACTAAAAAAAGATTCCTTCATTTTGATGAACGAGTTCGAACAGGAGAGTCACGAACGCGCATCACAGAACAGAACAAGGCGAGCATTTGTGCTTATAAAACTTAAACTTTTTAAATTATAGAATTTATTTATTTATTTTTACTTAATCAATTAAGTAAATTATGAAGAACTTGAAAATATATGGGGCCTTTGTAAGATTATTGTGGATAATTGGGTTAGGATAAAAGGTTTGGAAATACTGCCTTTTCACTGGGAAAAAAAATCCAATGGGAAATCGTTGATGTTGATAAAATATATGTATATTTAGATTTTATTAAATACAGGAAAATATAGTTCAAAATATATGTTAAGTGTATTATGCACTTTATGCTTATCTATGCTTATTATAATATTACATTGTTAGCTTAGCTACAAGCTAATGTAAAACTATCAATATTTAACTTACCTGTCACAGTCTTTCACTCTCTGTTTCTCCTTCCTTTTTCTCCCTCTATTTCTGGGTTTCCATCTACAAAAACATGAATAATCACTGTAATCCAACGTGTCAGTGTAATAGCATAAGTGTAGTACGACTTCTTACCTGTCTTGTTTTGTTGAAGGTTTTCTTAGTCTTGATCACAATGTAAGAGAAATCATGCAGAGATAAAAAGAAAAGCAGGGGGACTATTACAAACACACATTTCGTACATGGTCCATTGAATTCATCCAGAAAAACACATTCACAATTTCAACATTTATGTTCGATATTCAATTATGTTCAATAATCTATAATAACAATAAGCAGCTGTATCTCAAAATAGCTGTATGCAAAACATACGGTTACATAAAGCTGAATTGATCTTTTCCTTACCTACATTCACAGGCTTTGTGCTCCACAAAGGTCATCTCCACATATTCCTGGCCCTGCTCTGCTGGCTTAATCTTTAATAACTGAAAAAGTCAAAATATTAATATCCGTCGCAACTGTGTGCCTGACACAGACAAAATAATGTCTCCTACAGATATAGATCAGATATTACAGAAAAAGTAAACAATGCCAAAGTTACCTCCAACAATCAAGGCCATTTTTATATATTTAGGTCATTCACTCGCCACTTTATTAGGTACACCTGTTTAACTGCTTGATCTAATCAGCCAATCACATGGCAGCAACTCATTAGGCATGTAGAAATGGTCAGGATGTTCACACTGAGCATCATAATGGGGAAGAAATGGGATATAAGGCCCCGTTCACACAACAAGTCTTAATGCTCAATTCTGATTTTTTGCTCAGATCCCATTTTTGGTTTTGGCTGTTCACATTACCTTTTAAAATGTGACCTATATCTGATTCTAATGTGAACTGTTTGCATGTTTCAAACTAACCCGCATGTGCAAAAGAACAACAATGACATCATACGCAGGCCACTGTTGCACTAATGTTCGTGTGGTTATGGAGGAAGTAAGCATTCACGCTTTTATTTCTAAATGTCTGTGTAATGGAAGCCGAAAAATTAATGAGCAGGTGGTGATGATGAGGAGAAGAATGAAGAGAAAGAAAGCAAAATTGGCTATTTATTAATTAGCCCATCTATTAATTAGGACTAACACCACACTCTCCCTCCATTGACTCGTTCCATCATTGTTCTCCATATGTATTCAAGTTTTTAATGTTACTGTCTGTGTCTGTTGTGTCTAGTGCTTACTCGCCGGCGCATAATTGTGTCAAATGTCAGATGTAGATTGACGTCAGAGTCACATTAAATCTGCCTTTGTTGAACACACTGCGGACACATTGAAAAAAATCAGATCTGTGTCCGATTTAGGATTACATATGAATGTGGTCTAAATCTGATTTAAAAAGATCAGATCTGAGCCAGATTTGAGTGTTCACACTATCTCTGAAGAAGTCTAACCTGGTCACTTGACCCCCAAAAAATCAGATTCAAGCCACTTTTGTCTGCAGTGTGAACGGGGCCTAAGTGAGTTTGAAGGTGGCATGGTTGTTGACGCCAGACGGGCTGGTTTGAGTATTTCAGAAACTGATGATCTACTGGGATTTTCACACTTAACAATCTCTAGAGTTTACAGAGAATGATCAGAAAAAGAGGAAATATTCAATGAACTCTGTGGGTGAAAATGCTCAAATCATCTCAAACTGGTTTCTTGAACATGT